TTGAATGGTGATGTACACAGTGATAGGTGTTAAGGACTAACGTTTATAATAAATACATTTGTATTGATTTTAAGATATTTTCATACAATCATACGTATTGGGATAATTTGTATTAATGTGTACCGGAGGGAGAGGGTGACGAGCATAAATGTCACTTTCCTTTTTTATTTCAATTCCAACTTTGGTCATGAAGAATATGTTTCTCTGTTGTCCATGTTCATAAAGCATAACACAACAGCATCAGAGCACGGTGCAGAGTCTCTAGATGAGTCCCTCATTCTTATTAAACATCCACGTTGTAGTCCGTTGTATTGAACACTGTAGTTTCCATAGTGTCACCACAGCAGCAGACGCACACAATGACGTCCGCTGGCGCATCATAAACACGTCAGATAGTGAAAGTGCATTCGGATTCTCTAAAGTACCGCAGTCTCTTTTCTTAAATCCTTTTGAATTCTCCTATCCACTATCCCTGAACCCCGTGACGTTTCGCTCAGAGGTCAAGGAATAGGAGATAGGCTTAGAATTTAGGAGCTGATTTTTGGATTATCGGAACGCAACCCCGGATGTGGGCCCACAGAGCATGCGCAGTGGAGTTTCCCCTTAAACACCGCCTCTGATCACCCGCTCTGTCAATCAGATTAATGGAGAGATTAAATAACTCTAATTCAGCTTTAGGTGCATTGTACAGCTTTTATACTCTAATGATTTAAATAAGGGAAATACAATAATTCATACCGTGGAGTTTATTTAGTTTAAAACAAATCATCCGCTGATTAACACACGTCTCTTTCTCAATGTAAGTCAATAACGTCCCCGAAGCTGTAGTTCCACCGTTTCACCGCTCCGGACATTCAACGGGGGGTTTATGTTGTTCATTTATTTATTTTGTATTCAATAACATATTTCCTTGGGGGCTGGATTCATTCCATACGTACATGAACGTAAGATGCAGCGTGACGTGATGACGCAGCGCCAGACCCGGAAGTGATGTTTAGTCAGCTGACTGAAAACAACAACAACATCAGAGGAGCTCCGGGAAAATAACGGGAATACTGCTCCTTAGTACCGGGGATACTGCTCCTTCCTCCCGAGAATACTGCTCCTTAGTACCGGGGATACTGCTCCTTCCTCCCGGGGATACTGATCTTTCTTAGTACCGGGGGTACTGCTCCTTCTTAGTACCGGGGATATTGCTCCTTCCCTCGGGGGTCTCAGAGTGGTCCTCCTCCCTGGTTCTCCCCCCTTCTCTCGATGTGGATTCCCCCGGAGGAGGTGCTGCTGGCCGGGCCTCTGTGGGTCTCTGAGCGGGCAAACCCCTTCTTCATCCTGCAGAGGAGGAGAGGACATGGCCGAGGAGGGGGGCTTTCCGGTGAGTACAAGTACTCAGATATTGTTCTTGAGTAAAAGTAAAGTACACAGAAAAGTACTGCATTCAAAATGTTCCTCAACTTAAAGTAGAAAAGTATTATCATCAAAATATAGTTAAAGTAGCAACAGTAAAAGTAGTCATTGTGCAGATTGGTCCATTTCAGAATAATAGATATGATATGTTTTATAATGATTGATGATTAAAGTGTTCTCAAAGCTGGTAAAGGTGCAGCTAGTTTGAATGACTTTTTATACTGTTACTACCAAATACTAAGTATTGATCCTGTGTTCTGCAGGTCTGCAGGTGGTGTAAATACTAAGTATTGATCCTGTGTTCTGCAGGTCTGCAGGTGGTGTAAATACTAAGTATTGATCCTGTGTTCTGCAGGTGGTGTAAATACTAAGTATTGATCCTGTGTTCTGCAGGTCTGCAGGTGGTGTAAATACTAAGTATTGATCCTGTGTTCTGCAGGTCTGCAGGTGGTGTAAATACTAAGTATTGATCCTGTGTTCTGCAGGTCTGCAGGTGGTGTAAATACTAAGTATTGATCCTGTGTTCTGCAGGTCTGCAGGTGGTGTACATACCCTGGACGTGGTTCTGGACTCCAGCGCCCGGGTCGCTCCCTATCGGATCCTCCTGCAGACGGCTGGCGCTCAGATCTACTGGAACATCGCAAGCGGTGTGTTGAAGCCATTTTGCATTTCTATCTTATTTATATTTATAATGAAACATTATGAATGTTTTGTATATGATGTTTTATTATTTATATGTATTAT